CACTATAACCCAACCCTTTATAAGGGAAACCTTATAACCAAACCCTCTATAAGGAAAAACTCACTATAACCCAACCCTTTATAAGGGAAGCCTTATAACCAAACCCTCTCTAAGGAAAAACGCACTATAACAAAAACCCTCTTATATATAAAATGTCTATTTCCTTCAAATTTCCACACTATATATATTTCATTCTAGTAATTGAAGAGGTTAAAGTCACTTAGATAAATGAAAAAAAAAAATCCCAAAATAAATCCAAGCATGTCTAAAAAAAACCTTTACGACTTCAGATATTAATATTTGGTTTAAAACCGATAAAAAGTAAACCCATTAAAACTCAGAAACTTTTTCAAAAATTTAATAATGAAAGTTTATCTCAACACAAGCTAATTAAATATTGAATTTGCATTTATTAAGTTTTAAACACATTCTTTTGTTTACTTCACCGACACTCTTCCAGAAATATTTGGGACTTTTTAATAAAGATTTTGTGGGGAAATGAATCTTAAATATAGACAAGAAATTCTGTTTGGGTAAATGTTAATTAGAAGTTGTTTAGAAATATATATATGTTATATAAAAATATTATTTTATTTTAAAAATTATAATTTCATAGATTCAAATACTCTGCTAAATCGACCGCCAGAGGTCACTCTTCCCCTATAAAAACTCGTTGTTGTTTTATCCCAATGGCCAGCTCAAAACTTTTGTACATTATGTAAATATTTTTTTTGTTTTTTCGTTCTACTCGCCTTAATCCAGGCAGTACTTTTATCAAATTGTTTTTTATGCATATCCCTTAGCTCAAATAAAGAAATCTCTGATCAAAACCATATTTATTATTATTCTTTCAATATTTATGCCACGACTGCTCAACAAATATCTCTATTCTCAAAATAATTAGCATCAAGTATTAATTCTATATAGCTCTAATAATCAAAATACAACAGAAATCTAATTATTTTATATAATATATGTAGTAATGTAGATTGCTGTTAGATAAATTCTGTTAGATGAATGTAGTGTGGCATGTTGGTTGCAGTCGTGGGTGGCCACAATGTTCAGAGTGGGTTCAGACGTGATTGGGATTACACAAAAGGACAAGACATGTTGGATGGCACCACAGAGATGGCGAGAGAGCAAGTGTAGCCGACGCCGGTCAGGGGAGATCTGTCGAGAGGGGTCTGTCAATCCTCGTGTCTCAAAGCGGACTAATCTGTTTGAGTAAGAAAGGGGCACACCTGGGAACCCGACTTGTTTTTCGGACCTTTTTCCTCTACAGGCGCCGGCTGTCTCTCACTCGAAATTTTATTTGTTACCTTGGCAATATATAATCATACAACACATGGGGATATATTGTAATATATTACAACATATATGTTATATAAATATATTCTTTTCTTTCAAATTATATTTCATAGATTAAACTATTCTGTAAAAGTCCACCACAAGATGTCGCGGCTTTCCCTATATAAATATCATTGTTGTTGTTTCCCGTTGGCCGTCTCAAACCTTTTGTAATTATGTAAATAAGTCTTTTGTTTTCCTTATTCTACTCGCCTTAAGTCAGACAGTACTTCATCAAATTCTGTTTTTATATATATTCCTTAAGATTGTGGGAGCCGAGAGACATCCTTCCAGCCTGCTGGGATAACAGACCACGGCAAACATACAAATGGGGCCTGGAAATAGTACAGATGGCCACCGCTGTGTGGCGCGGCAGATCGGCGGAGGTCAATCAGAACCCAATAGACATTCTAGGGTGTTGTCCTTTTTTGTCTTCCTATAAAAAGGTAGCTAATGAGTAATACCAATAAAATACTAACTTTGAAATACTTTCTGGGCCATCGCTGGACTAATAAATCGACGTATCACAAGCTCAATTAAAGCTAATTCTGATCTTAAATATTTTTTATCATTATTACCAGACTACAATTTAAATACTCATGTATACCAACCTCAAGGAAATACTCAATTCTCTATATCAATCAGCAAGTAATAATTCTATAACAATAATATTCCAAAATCAACAACAGATACCTTTTTTATATAATATATTAATATATATGTTATGATTATAATGTTTTGATGTTGGAATGAATAACAACAACCAAGAAGTCGGTGGACAAGTAGGTAAAACCCTCGATTCCCGACAGTCATGAACCGGGATTGAATCCCGCGTTAACATTTTGTTTAATATGTGAATAACCTTCACATTCATTGTTGTAATCATCATAAACTAGGTTGTTCTTTTTGAGCGGTACCTAATAAAGCGATTTTGAACCGGCTGTTGGAATGATAAAGGATTGGAGGTGCAGTCGTGAAAAAGGAAAGATAGTTATATTTACTTATCAAGTAGTTTTTTTATTTCCAATTACTTGAAAAGAATTACACATTAAATATTTTTCACAGTAATAAAGAATTAATAAAATGAATCCTAAATTCGTGATTTAAAAAAATAGGTAGGTTAACTATACATATTTACACTGCGTGACATTGAAAATGGAACACCAAGAAATAGTGGCCAGAAAGTGATGAAACTCGGCAGACAGAGAGAGACAGGGACGAACAATAAGTGATCTTTATTTCAAAATGATAGTCATAATACAGAGCGAGAACGGCGTCGGCTTAGTAGCAAGTAGGACCACCGCGGACGGCGATGCACGCAGCAACACGTCTAGGTAGAGAGTCAATCAGAGTACGGATGGCGTCCTGAGGGATGGCTCTCCATTCCCTCTCAACCATTTGCCACAGTTCGTCTTCTGAACGCGGCTGTGGCAAGGCATGCAAACGGCGTCCAATGATGTCCCAGACGTGCTCGATTGGTGAGAGATCAGGAGAGTACGGTGGCCAGGGAAGCATCTGTACATCTTGCAGAGCTTGTTGGCTAATGCGAGCAGTGTGCGGTCGGGCGTTATCCTGCTGATAAAGGGCATTGGGTACCCCCTGAAGGTAGGGGAGTGTCACCGGTCGCAGCACATCATCAACGTATCGTTGGGCCGTCATAGTGCCCTGAATACGAAGTAAAGGTGACCTGGAATCATACGCGATTGCGCCCCAAACCATGATTCCACGTTGTCGCACGGTGGGGCGTTCCACAATTGCTGCCGGATTGGACCTTTCTCCACGTCGACGCCACACGCGTACACGGCGACTATCACTGGACAAGCAGAAACGCGACTCATCTGAGAACACGACCCTGTGCCATTCCGTCATCCACGTTGATCTAGCCCGGCACCATTCCAAACGTTGGCGCCTATTCGGTGGGGTCAATGGCAGTCTTCTTAGCGGACGGCATGAGTGCAAGCCATTAGCAACCAATCGACGGGAAATGGTTCTGGTCGAGATGGAATGATCTAGGGTGTCTTGCACATGTTGCAGTATGGCGGTACAAGTGGCTTGTGGGGCCGCTACTGCTTGTCGAAGGATACGCCGATCCACACGTGCTGACGTCACTCTGGTTGCACCGACATTCCTATAAATTGCCACATTTCCTTGTTCCAACCATCTTCTCCACAGTCGGTGCACCGTGGACACACCAAGGTGTGTATCAGCTGCGATTTGACGTATGGACCAACCTGCCCTTTTCAGTCCGATCACCATGCCCCTCGTAAAAGCGTCTGTCTGCTTGAACTGCCTCCGTTTACGATGACCTGGCATTCTCTGTTATTACACGTGTCTTTTGACACAAGAACAAAATTTCTACAATGATTTTCCTTGAAGAAATAACGACACGAATACTGTCCTTTCTGCAAGTTCCTTCCCTTATATCTTACTCCATGTGCGCACGAAGGCTGCGCATTTTACATCATTTGCATAACTCGGTTAGGCGCGTCTACCCTGAAATTTGCATAATTTTCTGGCCACTATTTCTTGGTGTTCCATTTTCAATGTCACGCAGTGTATAACAAATATTCAAAGTGTTCTAAATCTATGGTCAAAAATAAAATAATAGTCAATGATGAAAATAAAATACATATTTTTTTTTAAATAAAATATTTGCATTTTAGATTATATAATATATATATTGAATGAAATCTAAAACACTGTTTTATCTTCTGAAAAACGGTAAAAATTACCAAATTAAAATATATTTACCAATCTTATTTTACAATATTAAATATAGAAAATAAACAAATTTATATGAATATATGTGGGAATCGATTGTGATCCTGTCGACTCTCTGTGAGATTCGAATTGATCCTGTCGACTCTCTGGGAGAATCAGTTGTGATCCTATCGACTCTCTGTCGGATCCTGTTGTTACCTGTGTAAGATCCTGTTGACTCCTGTCAACTTACTGTGGGATTGGTGACTTGTGGTGAATTGTGGAGGTTGGAGATTGATGGCGCAGTCTTGGTCGAATGGTAAGTTTCCACAGGGGAAATAACGAGCACACCTGGATGGGATAGAACCTGGGCTTCGCAAAAAGGGAGAGAGTTGTGACTGGAGGAGGTACCCTGCCTTTCACATGATCGAAGAGAATTTTACCTTCGTTGGAGCCTAAGTTGAGCACACCTTGCTTCTAGCCCGGTCACCTACCTTCTGCCTAACTTCTTTTCCGAGATAATCGTCATTAACTATCTCGGCTTCTCATTGGTCGAGATCATTCTACGTGGTTGCTTCTGATTCGCTATTAGTTGGTCATGCTTAACTGTGATTGGTTGTTGATTTGTCATGCTTAATTGTGATTGGCTTAGTACCTCCATTGTCGCCATGATTGCAATCTTCCAGGAAGGAAGAAGGATTTAAAAAAAATATTTTTATATAAGGGACTTTCGAGTCTTTCACTTTCTCAATTTGGTGTTAAAACTTTTTTTTTATCTACAGGCTGAGAAAGAGAGAGATCTGAAAGCCTTCAATAAAATGTATAAATAATAAACATTGTAGTGTGATTTATTTGTATATATTGTCACTGAATAATTATTGTAAATACTCTGTTGTTAGTTTATCAAGTAAAATATTTGGCTACGTCACTTACCATTCTAATTGCTATCGCCTACGGTCATAGCACATTGAAAAACACCGGTTCTCGTCCGATCACCGAAGTTAAGCAATGCCGGTGAAGAAACTCTGCCTTTGCTGGTCCCAAGCCCGGATGAATAAGGAGGAGGGGGAGCAGTAACAAGCTCACTAAAAACCCTAGGCTCAGCTGGCCTGACTGATAGTACCCTGTAAGGGCTCCTAATCCAGGGATACAGGATGAGTCTGTACTCCATGTTAGGAGTGGCTGCACATGGCGTCTGTTCCTCATGTCAGAGGCGGCCATTTCTTTTGGAGCTAAGTCGGCCTGCCACTGAGTAGTGCTCCCGGCCTTAATGACAAAGGCATATGCATTCTACTTCACCCAGTCATGGTGGTTGTCAAACAGACACCATCAAGGGTCACAACTTGATACCCTGATATGATTGAGTGGAGATAAGAAAGAAGAAGAGCAACATCGGGCCCGGTCAGTACTTGGGAGGGTGCCCACTTGGGAACACCGGGTGTGTACTGTAGGCTACTTCCTTTCGCTCCAGTAACCTGTGTTATAAATATCTCTCTCTTATTATCACGTTTTATATTCTATAGATTCTGTCAATAAATTATTTTGAAACTTTTGGAATACCCGTCTTCTCTGCCGTGTGACAATATTTTGTCAACCTAGTATACATGAATCAATTTAAATCTCCTTTGGATATCTGATATCAGAATATAAAACGTTTATGGAGATAAGTATCTTTATTTTGATCTTCTCAAGCTTTCGGGCTTGGCTGCCCTTCTACTGGAGAAACAATATATAATATATATATATTGTTTCTCCTGTAGAAGGGCAGACAAGCCCGAAAGCTTGAGAAGATCAAAATAAAGATACCTATCTCCATAAACGTTTTATAATACAATATAACGCGGCTGATGATTGTAAAACGAAAATTGCAAATATACCGCGAATGTTTCTTTTATAAAAATCGAAATCTATTTAAGAGAGAAATAGCGACCATTTCTAACTCTTTTGAATGAAGTATGAGAGGGTGAAAATATGAAGAGTAATGGCGAACGGAAAAATAAAAGTGTCCAGGGGCGGGAATCGTCCCGAAATCGTCATTTTCCCGCATTTTGATGGCATTCTCTGCCCAGAACCTACAGATTTATATAAAAAATATAATCGACAGCATCAGTTTTGGTAAATTCAGACAAAGGCCTGATACCTGTATACCATGGGTTTTGAGTTATTTTATTAATCAATACAGGAACTACTGAGACCATGGTACTTAAGTTTGGCATATTTTTTCTGAATTTATCTGAAATGGTGTTATGTGACACGTACTTTGAATAGTCAAGCTAAAGAATTTCAACAAAATTCATTGTGAGAATTCGAAACTATTATAAGACGCTTATGATTCTTTTAAAAATGAAACAAATTTTTAACAGAATCATACGTGTCTATAATAGTTCCGAATTCTGATAACACATGAAGTGCTAATATATCATATTTGAAGTGATTGTTTTGGTGTATTTTTATAAAGGGAGAGGCACCTTTTCGCTTCCATATCTTCCCATCAAATTTTAAAATAGGAAAGTAGATAAAAAAAAAGAATATAGAAAATATTGTACAGAGCACACAGACATGGTCATTTGACCGATTTTGACAAATGGAATCCCTATATACATATAAGCCAGTGTTATATATGTATGTATGTATGTGTGTTTGTCAACTATACACGTTCACAATACGTAACTAATCTGACTGAAATTTTAACAGTATATAGAGTAGAATCTGGAAAAACTTATAGTAGAAATTTGAGGTCTCCATCCCAAATATTCGTCGAGTTATTGGCAAATTTGCGTTGCAAATTTCCCTTTCGCTCTTGAACAGCGCCTCTAGCGGTGAAGATGGAAGGTAAATCAGCTGACCTAATGTACATGTAAAGTTTCGAGCGGGACGTTTCACAAGAGTGACATCCACGGCGCCAATTTATAATTATAACGAATAGTATTTGACTAAAATCATTTAATAAGGTAAAACCTGGGTGTTGCCCGGGTCATTCGGCTAGTATTCAATAAAAGAGGACAATCTCACGGTAACGCAGTAGAACTACCTCTCTGTAAAGGACAATACCTAATTGCAGAGCCAAAGTGTTCTTTATAGAGAGGTGTCCTCTTACCGGAGAGTTACTAAATAGTAAAAATGGTAATTTTTCAAATGAAAACTGTCCTTTGTAGAGAGGTGTCCTCTAGCAGGGTGCCCACTAGAGGGAGGTTCTACTGTATTAACAAACAAAAACTTTCAAATTTGACTTTGTTACGACTTCTAAAAGTATTTTCAAAACCTTTTGTTTTGTCTGAATCCCTATCTATATACATGCTAAAAGGTACAACTTCCATAAGTTTTATCTATGAGTGTATATACAAAAAGTCATGCTTCTCTCTATTTATTTGAATATTTTGAAGATAAAGCAATCCATAAATAAATATTTAATTAAAAAGGCATATATTGGATCAAAATATCATTTATTTTACCAATATTTCAGTTGGCTGAACGCCAGCCTTTATCAAGGTGTTATGACACACATTAATGTAATAATACCTTGATAAAGGTTGGCGTTCAGCCAACTGAAATATTGGTAAAATAAATGATGTTTTGATCCAATATATGACTTTTTAATTAAAGATTTAGATATGTAATGTATTCCAGTAAATGCAGTACTCCTCTACCCACTATGATTATCATGGCCTGTGTCAAGTTTACTTAACATAATAATAAATAAAGAATTATCTTTTTTTTAGTTTAAACACGTCATTGAATTTGTAATTGGCCAATTCTGGAATAATTAAAATTAAACGAGAATAGTTGATATTTATTCCGATAGATGGCGCAAGCCATCAGCAAATTTCAGTTGCATGATAAGGAGATGCTCTTTTCATATAATAATTGAATTTAGTTGTCATACATAAAACGAGATAATGTTTTAATTTAAACTATTTAGAAAACTTAAATCTACATATTCATGATGAAAAAGGTAAAAAAATATCTCAAATATATTAAATCTATATATATATATATATAAAATGAATGTCTGTCTGTGTGTACTCTATAGATTTAAAAACCATACATCCAATCGCCGTGAAATTTTGGGATATTATTAGGTATATCCCCGGAAAGGGTTTCGAAAAATAATTTCTTGAATATCTTGAATATCCTTAGAGTTATTTGCAGATTTGTAGCTTTAACTCGCAAGCAGCGCCACCTTGCGACGGTGATAGGCTTAGGTCTGCCCCACCCCCTGTCGAGAGAATGTAATCGTCCGGCCGCCGGCCGGATGGACAGTCCAAGTACCCAACGACCAATCAGAGGGGTCAAGAGGTCCTGGCGCGCGGAGGCAGAGTTGGTGACACAGCTGTGCCAAGTAGACGAGAAAAAAGCCTCGCGGAGGCTTGCCCAAGATGACCTCCGGGAACTTCGTCCATCTTCCATAAACGACCATGGTTTTATTCAACTTATCGAGTATTTTTCAAGGGACCAGGAAAAAATGTTCACTAGATAAAACGATGATTTTGTAATGTAGAAAATTAGGAACGACAAAGTTCAGGATGACACGGCACAAAATATTCACTTTATCGAGAGATTCAAATTTACGAGTTTCAAATTATCAAAATATATCTTTTTTTTTTTTAATAATTTTATAGAGAATTGTTTTAACCTATGTTCGTTAGACAAACCTTTACTCGGGTAAAACCCGGGCAAAGCCGGGTACATCCGCTAGTAATTCATAAAACGCATTTGCATTTTAATTTTCTCAATTTGTACAAAAATACTCTTACATAATACATATTAGTTAATTTAAATATTTAAATTATTTCTTTTGTTCCAAACACAGTGTAGTGTGAATCCAATTTTAATTCAACGCCTTATTTTAAAAAAATAAGATTTCAAAATATTTATCTATCTTCTTATATAATAGGTTATTAAAACCCATTTTCATTTTAGATTTAGAACTATTTGTTTAAAATGTTGATTGAATTCGAAACTATTATAGACGCGCGCGCGTATGTGAAGACGTTGGATAAGCCTACTTCTGCGGGGAGGACTTACTCACCACTACGTCACGGCCAGCCAATCACAGTGCTGCCCAGGGGGCAGCCCATCCTCCCTCCCCCATTAGTCTAAAATAAAGGAGCTTAACACTTGCCTGTTGTTCGCGTCGACTCCGCGTGCTTCTAATCTATCCATTTCAATCGGCAGATGTAGTGGGATAATTGACTTCCATTATTATATCATCTAGTCCAGCTTCAACTTATAGCCCAACAGTATGATTCTTTTAAAAATTGAAACAATTTTCTCTACTGTCCTTACTGCAACAAACAATTAATGGAAGGGCCTGGCTCATCAGTAAGGACAGTAGATAGTTGTTTAATTTTGAAAGAATCATACGCGTCTATAATAGTTTCGAATTTTCATAACAGAAGACGCGCTAATGAATCATAAAATGTTTACAGTAAGACCTCTCTTAGAAATTACCTGTCTTAGGAGTTTTGAAGCAAGAAGTTGAATATTCTTTGAGTGTGAAAGCTTGCAAAAAATAGGAACTTACCCTCGATCATTAATTTGTTTATTCTTTTCTTTGTCGTCTGTTTTCACAAGTAAAATCTGGTTAGAAAATGCATAAAAATTAGATGAATCTTTTGTTGCCTTAAATACGAGATAATTAACTCGTTTCTATATATATCTAAAAATGTTTAAAGTTTAATAAATTAATTTTATAAATCTGAGAGTTGTCTTCAAAAACGATCCAACAAGTTTTCCTGTATTTTAGATAGAATTTCTTATTGGGAATTGTTTTTTTCTTTCATAATTTTAGTTTGTTAATGCATCATACCCTGTTTAAAACTCGTTTAATTACAACAAAAGTTTTTTTTAAAGACATTCTAGCTTGTTGAAGAAATTCTTGTTTAAAAACTCACGCCAAACTTATACATCTTCAATAAAGAAAAAAACTCGTCGCTTTTACCTTTTGTCTTTTCTTAGCAATATATATATAAATATATGTGATATCTTGGGACCCCTGGGACCAGTGTTACCTGATGCTAGACGAACCTCGATGTCAACTCT